GAGAAACATCAATGACGAGAGAGCATCATTGATCGGCTGCCTCCTGCACACCCCACACCCCACACTGGGGATTGAGCCCGCAACCCGGGCATGTGCCCCGACCAACCGGACCGGGAATCGAACCCTGACCTCCTGGTTTCACAGGTCGACGCTCCACCACCCAGCCAGCCAGGCTGGTTCTACAGCTTTTGACTTAAACTCTCTCCCAGGAGGATCTCTGTCCCCCTGGTTCTCTGGTTCTCATTCCTCCTTCCCGGTTCCCATCCTGGTTCCCTTCATCCCGGAGCACGTCGCTGCTGGCCCCTCCGGGTCGCATTCAGGGAGAAGCCCGTTCGGCGCGGCTCCCTGCGGCAGGAGTTCGGCTTCAGCGAGGGAGCGAGCGCTCTCTCCGTGCCCGTCGGAGCTGGGCTCTCCCAGGCGCCTCGGGAACTGGTTCCGCTGAAGGGAAGGGCTCAGATGGCTCTGATGCCGCCCGTCAGGCTTGTTAGTCGGGAACGACAAGGCCAGACGGCTTGGCAGGATTGAGGGAGCCGGCTCTCAAGCTGTCTCACGTTGAGCACACGGATGTGCTGTCTTTGATGGTGAAGTGATTGATTGGGCGTCTTCCTCCCGCGCCTTTGAAGAGCCACGGGTGGTACTGAGGACTTTTTGGATTCAGAGACCCCCAGAGGTGGAGGGAATGGGCCAGACGATCTAACCTGCCCCCGAGGGGTAGCTCCAGAGGAAAGAGGCTCAGAGAGGGCCAGGGCGTCCACGGGGGCCACACAGCCCGGCCTCCTCAGCCCCACGGGGACCGCTCCCCTGTCCCCACGCATCTCGCCTTTCCTTACCCTGGTAGCCTGCGTCTCCTTCACTCAGCAGCCCAGCAGCCGTGGTGGGAGCTCCTACTGGGAGCCAAGCGCTGACGGAACGTGGTGGTTTGGGGGCAGGTAGAGGTGGGCGGCACGCACTCCGGGCCCTCCCTCCCAGAGCCTGCTCCTCCAGGGGGGCCAGGGGCTGGGTGTGGAGCGCACGGTCTCAGCAGGGCACGGGCATGCTGCTCCTGTCTGGGGGAGATCCTGGGACATGGCCTGTCACAGCCACAGAGTCGGGAAGTTGGGGTTCAGCAGCGCAGGGCGTCGCCAGCTCCAGTGCCTCGCCCTCCGGCCCCGCCCAGGAAACCCATCTCCCGGCTGTGCACAGACACCCCTCACTGCCAGGCCTGGGCGAGCCTGCTCTGGGGGCCCCGGGAGCCGGAGCGGGAGGGACAAGCTCTTGCTCCTCTGAGCAGGCCTCTGGCCTGAGGCCGTCCCTTCACCCCAGCGGGTCCCGGGATGTGAGGACTGAGCCCCGAGCCCTGGGGAGGCGGGCATCCCAGGCTGGCACCACGGCAGATGACACCCCACGGGGGCCGGAGAGACGCGTAGACGGGAATGCGCGAATCTGTTCAGATGTCTGGGGGCCTCCTGCCGTCTGAACAGGCGACGTGGCTGACTTGTTCCTGCCGGCATGCTTCCGCCCCCCCCCCCCAACGCCATCCCCCCCGCCGGCATGTCCTCCTGGGTCACCTCCCCATTGGAGTTCTGGGGGCCAATCTGGAGCCGTGTCTGGGACCGACCACCCGCTCCTTGAGCATCTGTTTGAACCACCGTCCCTTCCCCTTGCCCTCCAAGCCGCCTCTGAGGTCCGCCCACCAGGCAGCTGGCTCCCCTCGAGGCACAGGGGCCGCATCCCCCTCTCAGCGTCTTCTCTGCTTCCTTGCAGCTCACCTTGCAGAGCGCCAAGTCCCGAGTGGCCTTCTTCGAAGAGCTCTAGCCGGGGACCCGCAGCCCCAGGATCTACCGCTGCCGCCACTGCTGCTGCTGCTGCTGCTGCTCTGGCCGATGGTCCGCCATCGTGGGAGCCGGTGCAGGTGGCGGGCCGGGACCCCCGGGGGAGCGTAGAACTCTCCCCGGCCGAGGGGAGCGCCCACCCTCTCGTGTGCAATGGCCTTGAACTGTGAGCCTGCGGAGGTTTCTCCCAGGGGGCACTGGTCCTCCTGACCCAAGTCTTTAAATGTCTTCGGAAGTATTTGTCTTTTCCTCGTCTACGTGTGTGTGACCCCAAACTTCCTGCATCAGAGGCAGCCTGGGGGGCGGCTCACTGTCCAGTGCTGACCCCCGGCCCTGGCTGGGAAGTGCACAGGCCCCTGGAGGCCAGGAGGCTGGTGCCCCCCTCCCTCCACAACACCCTGGTTTCCAGAACACTCCTTTCCTCCCCTGGGGAGGAGCTGGCAAGGGAAGAAGCGTGGCCCACCCGAGCCCAGGTGGCCTGCCGTGAGCTTGCCCACAGCCCAGGGGGCGGGGAGCGGGCACGGCCGCCGTGACTGGGGAAGACTCGGCAGACGCTGTGACATCGGGCGGCTGCCAGCAGTGGGGCTGGGAGGCCGGAATACGGTGTGGGAACCTGCCCCACACACTACACTCGCTGCCTCCTCCTGCCTCCCCAGACCAGGGTCCAAGGGGCAGGCGGGAGCCACGGGTCCTTTGCGCCCCCTTCGGCCTCAGCCCCTCCTGCTGGCTGGGCCAGGGGGCCCCCAGAAGGCTCTGAGGCCCCATAGACACTGCTCAGTGGCCCCGACTCGGAGCTCCACTGGCCCCAGCCTGCCAGCAAGCGCCTCCCAACCCATCGTTGTACCTGGGCCCTTTATTTCCTGTTCCCTTATGGGCCAGACGGGGTCCCTTTGTGCCCCCGCCGGAGCGAGCTGGCGCCCGACTGCCCACCCCTGCTGGCAGCGGGGCATAGACCACCCCGGGGCCCACCCTGGCTCCCTGGTTTGGGGCCACGTTCGTGCCCTTTCTTTTCTCCATCACTCGGTGCTGCTGCTGCTGCGACCCACGGGGCCGGGCGGACCCTCCCAGGGGGGCTGTTGGGGAGCAGGTGGCCAGCCTGAACCAGCGCACAGGCATCTGGTAGAGGGCGCGAGAGGCCTAGCGACATCGAGAGCGCGGTGGCCTCCAACACGCCTGTGCCGTCTGAGAAGCCGAGCAGCTCACGGAGCCTGTTCCCTACAGCCAGGCTGACGCCACAGCGTCCCGGGCTGGCTGCGTCCTCCCGCGTCCGGAATGGAAGGTCTGGCTCTTGCGTGCGGCTCTGCCTCCTGCATTTCCAGGAGTCCCTTTTTCCCTCCTCGCCTGTCAGCTCAACCCTTCACGGTGGCCGGGGGCACAGAGCAGGGCGGTGGGCGGTGGTTCATAAAGACATCGTCAGGCTTTTTTTATTCTCGTTATTTAACTGCCGAGGGTCTGTGTGAAGTCGGGGCCATGCCAAGCTGTGTGGTCACCAGGGAGCCGGGCCGGTGGCTGTG